TAGTGTGCCAAAATGAAGCCAGAGCACGCAAAGCTCTTGTCAGGTGTTTCTAGGAGGGTACAAAGAGGTGAAATGGGCTCCGTTTTCATGCTGCCATCTCGTTTGCAGAGCCATCTCTGCACAAAGCCTTGCAGACAGCAGCACCGAAGCCCCCGTGCCCTGCGGAGGTTGTGTTTGAACTCCCATCGGCGGCAGCAGCGAGGGGCTAAAGCGAGTGGGAAGGGCAGAGGAGGAGTGTGTGTGACAGCAAATGTAAGATGAGCTCACCACCAGATACTGCCCTGTCTCCTCGCTGAACATATTGTATTTACTCATACGCTCGTTCGTCCTCCTCTCCTGGCGGAGAATGAGCAGCGGAGTCCCTGTGCAGAGCTTGAAGCCAGTCACTTAGGACAGACCTCATGGTCACAACTACTTTGTGGTGGCAAATGCCAGAGCAAGTGGTCACTCTGGGGATAAATACTGTATTTATGGGGGGGGCGGGGGGGACAGGGCATCCTTAGGGCTCTGCAGAATTGGGGCAAGGATATGGTTTAATTTGGCCTGATGGCTGGCAGAGGCTGTGACGTCTGCTCCAGTCCCCTGTGTGCAAGCAGGACTCGTCTCAGATGATGTCCATCGTGTCCTCCTGGCAGTTCAAACCATGTGCTGAGCTGTAACAGAGCGGTCCCGAGGCCTGTTCAGCAATGCCCAGGGTCCTCACAGCCATGGACGAAGCCGGGGTGGCGGGATGCTGGGATAGAGCTGGGAATGATGCTGCTGTCTGTGCCCCCCACTTTCAAAATCTTCAGCGTGAGCATCGATCAAATGCAGATACTGCTGCACAGGATCACCTTCTCTTTAGCTTATCTTCACTCATCTTCTCCCACCTGGCAGAGCAAAGGTTTTCCCAGCGGAAACTGCAAACTTCTTAAATGCGTTGCCTTTTTAAAAATTAACCTACTTTCCATGTGGATTTCTGGCTCCTTTCCCCCACTGTTTGCATGATTAACTCTGCACAGCGCCCTTTTAAACATGACTTTCGCTTGTAAATCCCACTGTGCAGAATCAAATTGGTAGCGGGGAGGATTTGTCTTTTTGATTGAAAGTTTGTTTGACCTGAGCTTTTGGTAAGTGCTTTGCCTGCTCTGGATATATTCTGCTCTTTCCTTTTTTTTAACTAATTTTAGATTTACCTGGGATAGAGCTGTGTGAAAGGATGACCTTCTTACCGCCAACTGAGCCATTCCCTCTCCTGGCTCGACTGAGACAACGCTGCTTTCAGCAAATGCTTCTTTAGCAGAAGGGGAAAAGGGGAGAAAGACAAATCAGGAGATGCCGCAGCTCCCTCCCTTCCCTGTCCTCCTCCTCTCCCCAACCAGAGTGAGATCAGACCTGATGGGGTTGCGTCTCAGGTTGCTGGCAATGGGTAGGGTCTCTCCCATTAGCATGGCTAGTTTTAATTTTCTAATGTAACGTGAGCTGGATTAGGGGATTATCTCCTCGGCAGCTCGCAGGGGTCATGCCTGGAATTCCCCAGCTCCCGGCACGGTGGCAGTGGCCCGTGCGAGCATCCCATCGCAGGGGCTCGGTGTGGCTGCCTTTCCCCGCTGCGCCCTGCCGGGTGCCAGGCAGCCGGTGACGCAGTGCCCGGCAGCGGGATTTCTGCCAGGGTTTCTCTTCGGTGGGAAGCTGCGAGAGCCAGTCGTGGTAGGAGTGTGCATACGTGTCTGTTCTTGGAAAAAGGAAAAGTCAGAAGACAAATACCCTCTCCCTACTGTTTTTAACCCTGTATTTTTGTCCTGCTCCCCCAAACTGAGAGCAATGAACTATTTTTAAAATACGAGTTCTCATCTCCACGCTCTTAGTGTTTTTCCCTTTCATCCTTTATTCCCTCTCCATCATCTCTCTCCCTCCACTCCATGGAAAATCACTGGCTGGATCGGAATTGCATCTCCAAGTTTATTTACGTGGTGGGATGGGCGTGAAACAGCCAAACAGCTTTGACAATGGCACGTGCCATACATCTGCTTAACAACACCTGCCAACAAACTGAAAACTCTAGCTGTCCGAAAAGAGACCGCACTTGCTACCTGTTCACTTAGGCTCCGAATCATCCCAGGACTTACTGTCCCTTCAGACATCGGTGATCCCAAGCTGTGAGTTGTAGGAAAAAGGCTTTCCCAATAAGCCAAGGTCAAAAGAAACTAAATTCTCTGGCTGTCCCTACCTGACGGCACAGAGATTTGCTCAGCGTTTGGTAAGCTATGCTTGGCAAGGAGAAATTTGGCACTTACACCTGGGCACTCCGGCTACGCGGCAGAGCCTGGTGGGTGAGTGACCAAGAGTCACAGTCGGGTTCCTCCAGACTGTGGTTAAAAACCCTCTTGCCAAATTAAAGCCAAAATAACACAGAAAGACATAGAGATGCAGAGGCAGGGATATTTATCACTCCTCGTGCCCTCGTCTGTTCCTTTCGCAGAGGTTTAAGCATGGGGCACTGTGGGATTGTCTTGTTTCAGAAACACTGCGACAGGCAGAAGGCAAACCTGAGGATCCGCTTCAAGCCCTCACTCTTCCAGCACGTGGGAACTCACTCCTCCTTGGCTGGGAAGATACAGAAGCTGAAGGTGGGTACCAGCTGCCTGTCCAAGCCGCAGATGGCCTTTCTGCCAGAGCTGGCCTGCAGGCACCCGGGAACTGGCTGCTTTTGGGGTGGGGACATCAGTGACAGCAACTGGTGGGACAGTGGCAGCTGGATTTCTGTGCAGTGGTTGTGTTTTATTCTGTATTACGGTGAGCTCATGCAGCTCCTACCTCTCAGAATGGCAGTGACATGTACCGAGAGTTGCTGCAAGCTTTTAAGCCTTGGTACTGGTCCTGGCTGCCCATCCTGAGTGCTGAACCATGGTCCGGGCAAGTGATTTTGAAGCATCTACTGAAAAACCCTGGAGAGGTGACTCCTGGGTTGGTCTGACTTCCTTTCCACCCCCCTCCGTGTTCCTGGAATTTGCTGATAGGCAAACTAGAGCTTGCTGTGTAAGACCTTAAATTGTTTGTGTGTGTTTAAACCTCAACAAAATCAAGCTGCCCCCAGCTATATGTGCAGGACCCATAGACACGCATCAGGCCCGTGTCTGTCTGATCCCCAGGTAAATGGATGGTTTAATCCAGTTTGTATCACAGTGCAGTGCCTGTCAGGCCATGTCATCCAGTCATTTTATGCTATTGTGAGTCTCCCAGCCACCTTTTCCTCGGGTGTAAGGACTGTTGCAGAGCTCCTGGGGCAGGGACACGTGTTCGGGGATGCTTGGACAATGAAAGGCTCTTTGGTGCTGGATCAGAGCGCAGAGCAGTGGTGCTGCTCTGTGCTACCTCTCCTGAAGTTGTGTCCTCCTGGGATCCAGCCATGCATTGCCCTGTCTGGTGCCTTCCCTAGATCACTTCCATCCCTCATCTTTCTGTGCTCTGCAAATCGAGAGCTTTTAATTTGCAGTGCCTTGTTGCTGGGACCCCTGTTCCTCACAGGCGAGAGCAGCTCCTGACCCTTTTCTGCCCTTTTCTTTGTGCCCACCAAGGACAAGGACTTTGGCAAGCAGGCCCTGCGGAAAGAGCACGTCAACCCTCCTGCGGAGGTGAGCACCAGCCTGAAAACCTACCAGCACTTCACCTTGGAGAAGGCTTACCTGCGGGAGGACTTCTTCTGGGCCTTCACTCCCACTGCCGGAGACTTCATCAGATTCAGATTCTTCAAACCGCTCCGCATCGAAAGGCCAGTGCTTGTGGGGGGGGGATCAGTGAGGGGAGGCGTGGGGACAGCCTGGAGCATGCGGAGATACCTTCCTTGTGCTCTTCTCATTCATGTTGAATTTCTTGCCCATCTCCTGCTTGGCTGCCCAGGAGGAGGGAGCGGTGCTCTTCCAGGGGGAGAATAACTTGACCGTTTTTTGGTGGGGCCATATTTGCCGGAGCCCTTTGCTTTCCTGCACTTGTGAGCAATCCATGATTTAGCAAATCTGGTGCAGAAGGTCTCCTTCCAAGCCATGTGCCCATGGGCTTTTTGTGAAGGTGGCTGTTATGTTGAACTGTTTGATGGTTCAGCCATCACGTCCCCTTTCGCTTACTGTGGGTTTCCATGGCTTTGGTCTCTGTTACAGGTTCTTCTTCCGCAGTGGGAACATTGAGCACCCAGAAGACAAACTCTTCAATACGACTGTGGAGGTTTTGCCATTCGACGTAAGTGTTTTATTGAGACTTGAGACGGGGGTGGAGTGGGAAGCAAAAGAGGTTTGAGAGAAGGGAACTGCTTAAAGCCGTCAGGAAAATCTTTACAAGACTCGAGTGCCTTTGAGAAGTGTTGGCTGGGAGCCAGGGGGTCAGGCCTGGTGTGGTACCACCTCAGGAGCGGGGATGCTGCGCTGAGCAGTCGCTATGGGAGCCATCCCTGCCTGCAGAGGGGATGCTCGGGTGGGTGGGATGGCTGCAAAGGAGGGGATGGACCCAGAATGGTGCAGTGGAAGCAACAGCGCGAGGGCAGCAAATGTCCTCTTGTTTTGGGACATGAGGCTCAGGGTGCCAGGCAGGGGGACGAGGTGCCAAGGACTGCTGGCAAGGGCAGCTCCAGGATTGCTGCTGTTGCTTGGGGCTTTTGAGTGGCTCTTGCCACCAGCCTTGCACAAAGCTCCTCTTCTTCCTGCAGAGCCTGCAGTTGGATAAGGAAGCCTTGCAGGAGGGAAGAGGCACAGTCGTCAAATACCACAGGACACCAGATGGCTACATCCAGATAGGTACAGCATGGTGTGGAGTGGTAAACTGCCTGCCGGGTTTGATACCACAGCTCATATCCTCACCTTCAAGTGAATCAAGACCCTTAGTGCTGTTTGCTGGGCAAAGAGTAGTTTCTGCTTGCCAGGAGCCAGGTTGGAACAAGATTTAATTGTCATTGTCTCCTCCACTGGCCTCCGTCCCCTCATAGACGAGGTGTCCTCTTCAGGTGCTTTTTCAGTCCTACGTTTCTGCCTGTCTCTGCTGAGAGCTCGGACCAAATTATTCAGATTATCCATTTGCCCAACCTGGTGTTAAAAACCTCCACCATGGGTGGTTTTGTGCACTGACTCCACAGCCTCTCTCGGTACTCACAGCACTTGCAGCTTGGACTTTGTCTCTGCCACCTGAGCTTGTTTTAGTGTTTGTCCTGCCCTTGGACAGGAATGAGTGATTGCAGCCTACGGGGACCTGCTAGTGCTTGGTAAATCCCTGGTATCCCTGCAAAGACTTCTGTGGGGGGTTTTTTTAAATAGATGAATAAAAGAAAAATTCCCTGGCAGGCGTAGCTTTTTGCTATTTTAGCATTCTTCTGCATATTGTCTGGTTTCTCGCAGTTGTGTGTTCCAAAAAAAAAAAAAATAAATCATCACATCTAAAAATGGGACATAGGAACAGGTTCAGACCTGGCTAGCACTAGGGCTATAAGACTTGCCTCCATGGCGTGGGTCCTGAACTGACATTTGTCTCTTACAGGACCGTGCTGCTGTCAGGCCACGCTGCCCCTGTTTTGCACAGCAGTGATGTGTAGCCAAATACTCCCCATTTTGTTTTGTTTAGCTGATTTTTTTTTAATTTTTTTTGTTGTTCCCCTAAGTATAGCATTTTGCACGGTATTGACACCCACAGTGCTGGTTTTCAGCCCATCTGGTGTCCGGGAGCTGTGGGCATGGGGCTGCCATGGGCTGCTCATGGTCCCCTCGGGGAGGGCTTGGGGTGGGTGAGGGGGCTGGATGCCAGGGGACC